CTCGCCGAACAAGCGTCCCGCTACTCTCTACCCGTCCACAGACAGAGATTCACCCCCCTCCCCTACGGTCTACCCCCTCCCCTCCGCACTCCTTGACCAAAATCATTCCCGTCACCTTCTCTCACCCCCCCTCCCTTCTTCCCCTTCTATTCGGCGTTCCTCTTCTCCACCTCTTCTCTGCCCTGCCCTGTAAGGCCCTGGGCTACGGATACCTCAGGACCTAGGCGTGCTAAGCTAGGGTATTCTCTCTCTCTCTCTGCCTGGCCTGTCCACTGTCTCTCTGTATCCCCTGCTGCTGCCCCTGCTGGGGGGGGGGGGTAAAAAGGAACCACCCGGGGGCTTCTTCTCCAATCCACGTTACGCCGAAGTTGGAGGTTTGGGATGTGCCTCCATTCTCCCTGGGCCGCTACCGCTACGAATACCGCTACCTACGGATACCGCTACTGAGCTTCGCTTGCCGCTGCCGACAGCTTCCCTGGGCTCCCCCCCTTCTCTTCTCCTCTCCATTACCAGGTCTTCTCCTCCACTCGACTCGTTCTCCCGCCTTTTTTCATAAAGGTACCCTCTTCGCCTTATCATACCTGGGGGTGTCGATTTCATTTTATTTTTATTTATACAGCAGCTGGCGTCGTCACACATCGCCTCTATTTCAGCTGTCGTCTCCCCCCCACGACCTGACCTGACTGACGGAACTGGACTCTACCCACCCCAGCTCCGGCCACTCTGCTTGCTCCGACAACATTTGCTCCTCGCATTCCTCGACGCCGTCCGGACCTGATCTGTTTCTGCTTGTCCCGCGATTAGACCGCCGGACTCAACAATTGTACATCTAGTCCAACCACATCGACGTCTGCTCCATTTCCCTCTTCTACGTTACGACTCGCGCCGGCTTGCTCGATTTCGTCTAGTCTTGTCTTTCCTTTTCCAGTCTCCTCTCGGCCCCGACCGCTGCGTGACGCAAGAGAGAGACCGACAGAGACAGCCATTCTCGGCTTGCATTGGTCCCCGTTCTCAACCAACGGCGAACCCGACTGCCATCGCCACCCACGGCCTCCAAGACGACCGCCTTGGCCTCGAACGCTTCTCGTATCCCACCGCGATCAGAACCCTAGATATTTCCCGGCCCATCACTCATGACGCCCTTGCTTCCGTCACTATAAACCTTAGTGGCGCCGCTTCAGCTGGAATTGTCAACCCTCAGCCGGCAACTGCACAGATACAAGCCAACATCATGGAGGCACCTTCAAGATACAGGGAGCCTGCGGGTCTTCCCAGTATCTTTATAGACTCGAACCCAAGAGGCTCAGACCGATACGACTCTAGCAGTTATTCCTCTTCTGTCGCTATTCCTGGTTCCGGAGACAGAATCAACGCACCGCCGCCCTTACCGCCACCGCGACTCCCCTTCGACGATCCTCACATGCATCACCAGGAGCCCAGACAACACTACCGCGATCCCTCATCCTACAGCCCCAGAGAACACAGTTATCACGACAGCTTGGGAAGTTTGGATGACAGGCCAAACTACATGAGGTCTGGTTACAGGCACGATGAGGGTTATGCTAGCATGGGTTCGTCCTCAGCTTCGGCTTCCACAAGGTAGGAATTCCCCGACCCTCCATTGGCGCCTGGTTTAGTTCCAAAAAAGCCTGCAGTGTCGAGACTTTGTGCCCATCTAACACTTTGACCTGGATAGATCAGAATGCTCTCTGCCTAGCATCTCGGCCGGCTTTGGTCTGCACCATAACCAATTCCAGTTTCAGTCTGGCGCGGACGCTTTTACCGATATGAAGAAGAAACTCGCTCCTTTGAAAACCTTCGACAACAAGCCGCCTGGCTCACTTCTCAGTGCGTCGAGCACATCATCAACTAGCGACCCTTTCTCGAGGAGGCTGTCTGGCGACATGCGTGTACCGCCGCTTTCCGTACCTACCAGCCTGCCGTTGCACCTCAAGACGTCGAACCTGCTAGACTCTCCCGACAGATATTCCCAGACTCCCAACTCTGCCCTCTCACCTTCCCCTAGAAGCCAGCCATTCCATCTTGGCCAGGACTATAGGTTCCCTCGGTCTGTCTCCGATTTCGACAGGTCACCCCCTGCCCGCACCAGAAGGAACAACAGCGACGATGCATCATCGCACAGTCACGAAGTGGACGAGATGGAAATGGAGGAAACCAACTCTATGAAGAGATTGCGGATAGAGGACCCAATTAGAGCGCACTACGACGGCGCTGGGGCGAAGCGCCGGGCATCTGCCGATCCCGACGATAGCGTACCACTTGGTTTCACAAACCAGGGTGATTTGCTACGTCGCCGCGACGGAAACCAAAGAGGATCTCCTACACCTCGGCTGAGCGTCATTCCTCAGGGATCTGTCTCTTCGTCATCCGCTCGTGCGGGGTCTTACAGCTCTAATCTATCCCTACTAACTGGAAGTATTGCCAGCATGGGCTCGTCGTACGGCCGGGTCTCTCCAGGAGGCTTGTCTCCAGGTGGAATTTCGCCTGGCGGAACCGATCCAAGCTGCAGCTCTCCTTACAGTGCATCGATGTCGCTGAACCCCTCGCCTCGCGGCTCTCTTTCCAGGGCCCCCCACCAGCGGACTATTAGCGAAAGCCGGCCTCTCGCTTCTCCCCGCAAGCTTACGGAAGTGAGCAAGCCTGGTGGAACCAAGATTTCAGGATTCTTCATGTGCGATTGTTGCCCGAAGAAACCCAAGAAATTTGAGTCTGCTGAGGAGTTGGCGTAAGTACCAGGCCTGCAAATGTGACGAAAGTATTGGAACTATTAGCTAACCGTCTGCAGGTCTCATGAAGCCGAGAAGCAGTATGAGTGTTCATTCTGCGGGAACCGATTCAAGAACAAGAACGAGGCGGAACGCCACCAGAACAGTCTTCATGTTCGGAGGCACAGCTGGAGCTGCTCGGCCTTGAACGGTTATGATCGAGCTTTCCACGACAGTACCAACCGCCCCGGTGAAGCAGACTCTTGTGGTTACTGCGGTGAGGAGTTCCCCAGAAATGGGAGAGGCCCTGGTGCTTCCGCGCCGCGCCACGCTACCGACCAGGATTGGGAAGAGCGCATTCGCCACCTCCAAGAAGTACACAAGTTCCGGGAGTGCAACAGCAGCAAGAAATTTTTCCGCGCCGACCACTTCCGGCAGCATCTTAAGCACAGCCACGCAGGCACAAGCGGCAAATGGACGAACATGCTGGAGAACGCTTGCATGTTGGATGAGGATCCCACTCCGAGATGAGCCCGAGTTGTTGGATGACTTGATTTAACCAGCCATTTACTGGATGCATATCTGGACTGGAAGCGTAGCCTGGAACGACGCGTCCGACTAATACACCGAATGCGAATGGACGATTCGAGACTGGGAAGGCAGTCGAATTGTAGACGGTCGCTGACGTGCAGGAACTGATAACTTGCCACTACGAATGGGAAATGAAGAGAGTTCCCACGCCACGGCCCGGACAGATGTGCTCTCGCCGGCGCCATGGGCAGTATAAAAAAAAAATCAAAAGCATTTTGTTGAAGCATGTGGGCAGCATATACGGGGTTGATGGGCTGGCCATTTGGAAGCACCATGTTTTTGGGCTTCTGGAGTATGGGTGGTTGCCAGGAGGGGCTTTCAGGCACCAAAAATATAGCCGCAGGTTGTCTGTTGCGCGCATTCCATTTGGAGGAAATACCAGGCATTGTCGGGCCAGTGGGAGTGATACGATGAAATGATATTGGTATTAGAGAGAGACGCAGCAATTTAGCAAGTCTGCGACGTAAAGGCTGGCAGTGTATTATGTAGGTTCAGGGCACACAGGTTGGACAAGAGAGAGAAAAGAATAAAAAGTCAAACAAATCATAACAAATTACTGTTCCACGTTGTCTTCCTGGTTTGAGTCTTTGATTCCTCGCAGTGCATGGCCGAGCAAGGTACTTGGTTTCCGAATCGACACGATGGAAATGGTAGGCAGACAGTCAATGGAAATTTGGGCAAATCCACCGCTGGCTGCAAAAACATACCCCATGTAGGTCCTTCATATTTCGTAGATCAAGAAACAAACATGTGCTCCAGTACCTACCTTGCTGTGTAAAAACGCCAAGTCGCCATAAGGCTTCATCAACGGCAATTCGGCATGCGGCAGTGAGGCCGCCGGTTGACAGGACGTCACATGATCTCAGCCCTACAAGCCACAGAAGAGTGGCGCAGGCGTGCGTGGTCTCCTTCCGTCCCTAGGCATTTAGTAACAAGGGCATGGGAAAGTGAGGGGCAAATGAAGCGGGGGAAGGGGGCACACCGCACGCCGCAGCAGAAGGGGACGCCGGGCATTTCCTTCCACCACACGGCCGAGTGGCAGGCAGGAGCGACAGGACCTGAGTGAAGCACGAGGGTACGTATCCGTACAACGAGCCGACAAAAAAAACAAAGGTGGAGGCTTGGCTCTTTTCGGCAACGGCAATATTTTGGGAAACAAAGCTAGAGCAACTTCAGGCCGAGCCACAAGCACAACTGCGTCATTCCCGTCACCAACCACCACCACTTACCACCAGTGTTCGTCGCATCCTGAGATTGGCATGCGAGAGGGGTCTGTCTTCTGGTGGCTCTTAGGACGCAGACATTGACTCCCACGTCTCTCTCTCCCCCCGTCTTTGTCACACACCACATCCGTAAACAGCAGGGAAACGTACACCTTCATACACACTGCGTTCATGTACATTGTGCAAAGCTGCCCTCTGTACCTTCCCCTTCATCGATAAAGCTGTTTGTATGGTCCGTGGCCAGGTTTCAACCGAGGACGTGACGAAGCGATTGAAAGAGATCGAGTCAAGCTTGACAACCACGACAACGACCAAGACGGGATTGAAGGACGCGGCACAGGTTATACCTCCTGCGGAAAAGCAAGCACCGAAGAATACATTAGAAATCTACACGGGCGAGCCTGAAGGAAGCGAGGAATCTGAAGCTTTACACCGACTACTGAAGAAGAGCTGCGTCGAGATGGCGATGAACCGCATCGACGGCAAGGAGGAGCTTTATGTGGGTGGGTGAGAAATATCCTCCCCCTCGTTGTCTTCACCGTAAGGTCCACTGACGTGATACCAGCATCTGGGCTTTGCGCCGCCCTTCGGCACTGAAGGAGCGTAACATTACCCACATACTCTCCATGCTGCGATTCGACCCAGCCGGTCTCAAAAGTGAGACCGACACCTGGGAGAACTACGGACAGAGCTACAAGCACATGGTTATCGGCATCGACGACGTCGAGGATGAGGATCTGCTCATTCATCTGCCCAAGGCTGTTCGGTTTATAGAGGATGCACTGTACCCTGGCAGCAGCAGCAGCAGCAAGAAGACGGTCACAGACGGGCCTGAAGAGGAGGCCCAGAAGGACAAGAGCTTCGAGGAGAAGGCCAAGCACTTGAAGGCAGCTGTGGCCAAGGATTTGGGGACCGAGTCTGAGACCGAGGCGGAGACTGCCTCGGCGCCGGCGGCAGCGCCGGCGAAGCCCACGGATCCGGACGCCATCCTCCCTGCCCCCCTATTCGAGAACCTGAATCTGAGCTCCGACGGGGAGAAGCCGGACCCCAACACCCGGGCTGGCGGCGTCTACGTCCACTGCGCCATGGGCAAGTCCCGCTCCGTCTCCGCCATCGTCGCCTACCTCCTCTGGAAACACCCCTCCCGCTTCGGCAGATCCGCGACCTCGACCGCCGCCGCGCAAAATGGCGCGTCAAGCGGGGCATCCAAGTCCGCTGACGAAGCCGCGGCAGCGCAAGAGAGGGCTGAGGCCGCCGTCGCCGCCGCCGTGAAGTGGGTTCGCAACACGCGGGAAATCGCGGAGCCGAATCCGGGCTTCATGAAGCAACTCGAGATGTGGTGGATCATGGGGTGCCCTGACGACGTGGCGTCACACCCGATCTACAAGCGGTGGGAGTTCCGGAGGGAGATTGACGAGAGCCTTGCCGCGGGCCAGGCACCGACGAAGCTGCGGTTCGAGGACGAGGAGACGAGCAAGGAGGAGGCGGAGAGCGTCAAGGGTATGGAGGTGCGGTGCAAGAAGTGTCGCAAGACGCTGGCTACGCCGCGGTTCGTGCTCGATCACGAGCCTGATGCCCCCAGGAACCCGCGGCAGCAGCAGCAGCCGTGCGGACACGTCTTTGTGGAGCCGCTGGGGTGGATGAGGGAAGAGCTGGAGAAGGGGACGTTGGAAGGGCGGCTGTCGTGCCCGAATCAGAAGTGCGGTGCCGCCGTGGGTAGGTATAGCTGGCGGGGGTTCCGGTGCAGCTGCGGCGGGTGGGTTACGCCGGGGTTCAGTTTGCAAAAGGGGCGTGTGGATGAGGTTGCTGCGAGGGTTCCTGGAGGCGCGGCGGCGATGGGGATTCGGATGCCGCCTGGTTCGGGGAGGTTGTAGAAGGGGGCTGTCGATCAAGGCTTGCGGCTAGAGCTAGAGCTAGAGGCTAGATTGGGAGGATACATGGAGAGAGAAAGAGAGAGAGAGTGTGTGTGTTTGTTAAGGCGTTGCAAGAGGGGGTGGTTCTGCCTGGAGTTGAGGGGGGAAGGGAAGGATTGCATGACATACGGTTGCATCAGCCTGGGACATGGGATGATTTCCTAGATGCCATAGAGAACGTATTCCGAGGATTCTCGCTGACTACGGGTTAGAAAGTATACATACATGTAGAGTTGACCTCGTTGGATCGTTACATGTGCAAGGCTGGATGTCTTCACGGTTGCCTTGATTGTGATGTACTGCCATTTGAATGCTTACTACCGATGAGTGTAATCACAAAAGGGCTGATGAAAATGGGCTCGCTTTGCACTCGGGTCATGGTTGAGGTCACTCGTCTCAGGACTTGGTACACAGGAATGTCTGCAGTTATTCATAGATCCTGTCGCTTACTCACTTTAAGGCGGAAGGGATCTTCAGATCTAAGGGCTTGCTTGAACGCCTTCCAGCATGCGACCAGTGATTGGTAACAATCCAGCGGGGGGTATGCTCGCGTGCTCCTGTGAATGGTGCTCCGGACCGTTGCGGCGAGAAAGAAACTTGACTATACTCTAATTCGAGCATCGTATATCTGGGGATGTGAGTGGATCAGATTGACCAGAGATGCAGGTGTCTTTTATTAAAGGTACTATGACTACGCCCTGGTCCTTCCAGGGTCACACTATGCTGTTGGAATTGGTTTCGGCCCGTTTATGATGCATGTACGGTTGAGCAGATTCTATCCTTGCAGACTTGCAGTTGCCTGCAATAACGTGGTCTTGTTCAAGCGATGTTGGCTATCAGAGGGTGTGGATCGAGAGTCAATGTAGGATGGATGGGTATCCGTACAGGTGAGTAGACTAGACCCTTGCTTGTATCCTGACAGGAGGTGGTCTCTTCGAGAGAAGCAATGTGATCGCCAGAGCCTAGAGGGTGTGGAATGAGATGTGGGATGTGGTTGCGCCTAGGCATTTTGGGTTCTGGAAAAGGGTAAAGTGCTGCCTGGATGTGCGAGATCTATCCGTAGACGTAGGGCGGGATGATTTGAGCATCCGTAAGGACACAGGCCTGCGAAGGAGACTAGGCAGACGCAATTCTGTACGTCAAGGATTGGGCGAATGAGGCGCGACCGAGATGAGATTATCTCCCGTTGGCGAGTTATGGTTGATAGCGTTTCCTCGTTCGGATGCGAGCTCATGTGGAGGGAGGGATGGCTGCCGGAGGTTCACCAAGGTTGGCATTATGCCTACATGTAGGTCTCGACAGCCGACGTTCCTCGTGGGTCGGGTTGGGGGGGGACTGACTGTGAAGTTTACATGTAGCCCCTATTTGGGCTGAGATTTCTGCGGACTGTCGGGATTGAAAGGCAGATGAAATGCCAGAACGCTGTGCACCAGTGGATGAAGGCATAGTTAACTACGTTCTAGGCTTGATGAAGCACCTCGAAAACGGTGTCTGATGATTGATTCTGTTCTCTCTTTGAATTGTGCTACCGCCAAGTAGGTTTGTTGCCTTCATTGCGCTTATGAAGGGAACGGGCAGGCTCTACAAGGTCCCAGGGGTAGGCTTTACATTCAAACTCTTGAGACTTCACAGTCTCGGACCTCTGCTGAAATCGAAGTTCTAGGAGATTATTTAACATGGTGGTGTCAATCATATGCTTGAACTTTATTGACAGAGACAGAGGTTGTTTTCAGACTCAGCAAGTTCATGTCAGTAGAGCGAAGCGTTCACTTGGGCATGATGCACATGGCATGGGGGGATGGAAATGGCCCAGAAGGATTTCACGATAGCGCCTCCCAGGGGCGGTGGTTCGTGAACGAGCAAAACTGCCCCAATTGACATTTGCAAGGAAAAGAAGTCGGAAGAAAACATCTGGCATTGGTGTGAGATCTGCTGCGGTCTTGCGCCGTGATAATTCTCTCTTCAACTCTTTTCTCGACTCAGTATCAGGCCTACTTCTGGTGACTGGATGTTGACGAAGACCAGGTTGCCCAGATCACAATAGAAGGCGCGAGAAAATGGAAAGTAGGGGCAAGAGCCAGCGGTGGGATTTAATTCAATCGTCCGTCAAAGGTGTTATAGCTATTATGTTCAGACGCCCATTACATCTTGAGAATCGTACTATGGTTCTGTGTTAATTGCATCGTGCTACCTAGGCAGCATAAACAGCACGCCAAAAGCGAGTCTCTCCGTCCTTCTATGCGTGGCTACCTGTGTGTACTCGCCTGTGAGTGTATGTGCGCCCTCAGCATCCCAGGCATCCCTAGGACGCCAAGTTCTATTCACAAAGCGAGCAGCATAAGGCCTTGAGTTTGACACTACCGCCGATCCCCCAGCTTAGAAGCCAGACCATGCTACGGATACATATCCGCAACTACCTAGCTACCACCCAGCTGTTAGGCTTCTCCCTTTCAGATCTTCGCCTGTCCTCCGAGATTGGGGGCAGAATGGCACGTTAGCCCTCAGTCATCCCCTCGGGGGGCTCACTACTCTCAACATCGATTTGAATCCCTCTATGCTACACCCGACGGGCATTTATCTGCTAGTGTTGGTCGGTGAGGCGCAGCAGCGGCCAGCATGTTGATACTCCTACGCCGGATAACGAGCGGAACCTCCGCGTTGTAGAGGGCAGGCTACCTACAGTCTACTTAGCGCACGCCATGCTCGACCAACGATGGGCCGGCACTGGTGCAATCCTTCGCTTTTACGGATAGGGGAGTGGGCTTAGGAAGACCAAGACGCACGTCGTAAGAGTAAGACGAGTTTGGCCTGTCACGATGCCGCTGGAAGCGAAGGGGCGAGGGGGAGGGGGGTATGATCTCTGGGCTGCTAGTGCTCTCTGGCGTACGGGGGCTTCTTACCTGCCGCTCTAGGCTTCTGTATATGCAAGTCTTCTTCTCCTTGTCCCTGTTATATTCCTTCCGCTGAGGAGGGTATGTCATGTATCTCATAGGACTCTCAAGGGCAGACTTTAGGCTGATGGGCTGTAGGAATACCTCTAAGGCTGCAGTGAGGGTGTACGAGTATCGTTCCTCCTTCTCTTAGCGTAGCGTCCTCCTGCCAATCTCACAACCGGTATCCGTGCTCTCGAGCGTCTGTGTGCGTGGGGGCATTCGTTGTGGATGCGTTTTAACTTCTCGGGCATGGATGAAGGTCCTCCACGCTGGTACGGTTGCCGTCATCGTGAGCTTCCATCGTGTATACCACGTAGAGGGATTGACACTATTGCCCCTTTTAGAAAGACCTGTCAGACTGCTACCAAAGGAAGGTCTGTACTCTCTCGAAAAAGGTAGAGGTTACGTTCCGCGATGTTCGAATCCACCTCCAAGTCCCCCACCCCCCCTAAAACGTTGACCCCTATTCTGCCATTCTTTTGCAGTTCGAAGGATCACCATCCCGGCACGGACTCGGGCTCCGAAGACCAGGAACGCCGTCTGGGTTTTTTTCTTGGGAAGAGAAGCCGCCCCGCGCGCGCACGCCCCGCCTTCTATTCCCAAGCTAGAGCGAGTCGGGACGGAGGATTGTTTGCTGTCTTTTTCTGTCTCTCACTGTCTCTTGCTCTCTCTTTCTGGGATTGCATCGGCTAGCGGCACTTCCGAGGCATTGCAGAGGAGAAAATGTTGGAGCCTGTAGGGCTGGAGGGATCCTCTTCCCTTTTGCTGAAGAGACTTGAGGTGGTTGTGGTGTGAGGATAGAGGTCCGGTGGCTTCGAGGGTCAGGAATTTTGGAAGGATTTCTCTCTAAGGGGAAAGACGGATGCCTGGGAGGGGTTTCAAGGTCCCCGAGAGTTCATGGCTATGGAAAGCCCTTGATGTAGATACCAAGGTAGTGATTGGGTAAGTTACGAGCATGACCTCCAAGGCAACGTTCAATCTTGCCCCCTTGGAGTTTTCCTTTTAAAGGCGCAAGGGGTGCGACTTCTTCGGCTGCCGGCATCGCTTTGACATGTTTAGATCCCAGAAGAGATTCATTTGCTTCTTGCGGGGACCTTATTACAGCCAAGAAAGGGACCTAAGTCTTTGTTAATATACAATAGACTTTGTATTTGTCTCCGCTTCCATACACAGCCCCAGGCAACAGCATTTCTCAAACAGTGACATAGGGGAAGTTTTAAGAGAAACGTACAACTTTCGTGTCATAGTTGACTAAGGTATACGAGGTTTATAGAGCCTCTCACCTTACCCATAGGTTTTTAGTGTTCGTGTTGGTTTTTGACACACCACTCGAAACATAATGCCATATTTTGCTGTCTTTCCGAGGTTGTGCGGAACTTTGGTGGTGTGGTCTATACCCTTCATATCAGAAAACAGGACCATGAGTGGCCATTCATATTATTTTTTCATTAGACCTAATATAGTAGTATGAAGACAGAAAATCAATTGCGCTTAACTCATTTTTGATACTCCTAAGTACTTAAGTGCCAGATAACAAAAGAGTCAACCATGGTTGGAGAGATCACCCAATGCATTTGAGGAAGGCAGCGAGACTGAGAGTAGTGACAGAGACAGCGGGGGACTCGTACGTCTAATGAATCCTACATTTGCCTAGGTAGTCTTCTGATGTCACTGATAACTCAATTCCTTGAATGTTGGATAACAGATTGCTTCCAAGGGCAACTTCTTATGACGGAAAATTCTGAGATTCATGGACTCTATCAAAAAGACTAAGAATTGAGTTGTGTCGACCTCAGATTCAGCGAGCGCTCGTACAGTATCCAGGGAAATTATGTTAAGTGTATCAACAGAGTCGTTTCATTCATATAGTTTCGCACTCTAGTGACCTCTAGGAAACGCACGAGACAGGCAGATAGCTAATTTGTCATTAGTAACTTGTAAGGGCGAAGATCCCTTGATAGGTCCTTTTCTCCAGATCAGATAATTGGTTGAGTATCTGTGAGAATGATATACAGTACAATATTGATGTGCTTTGTTACGATGCCAACCACGACGCATTAGCAGTAACTCCTATGCTCGATATCTTAGCATTCCGCAACATTCTTCTGTACTCCTCAATCTTGGAAAGCCCAACCATGACAAGTTCCTCAACAGTGTCTGGGCCGATATCTTTCTTCCAGACAGAGATCACACCATTTACTTGGTGATCGTCAATCGTGACAGACAAGACCATCTCCTTCTCATCCCTCAACTCCCATGACGCCCGACCATACGCCTTCATACCCGTCGCCTTCCAATGCAAATTACCCAGCTCGCCGGATTCGTACTTCCCATTGCTTGCTTTGATGTTGATTTGGAGCCCACGTTGTGAAAGTTGAATCTCGGTTTGAGCAGGTAGCGTGTGAAAATCGATCACGGCTACGTTTTCCTGCCCCCCATTCGCGGGTGATGTGACATGGCACTTGTCTCCCCAGGCCCCGAGGATGGCTTGCCGTTTGACTTCATAGCGTGGCGTCTTGTCGCCCTTGACGCCGAGAAAACGGCGATGCTCTTTGAGTGCGGTGTAGTGGATTTCCAGAGCAGGTGTCTCTTCGGTGCGGCGTTTGTCCGGGGTGGCGTCTACACGGACGATGAACTTTTCGAGCCAGCCTGAGGCCATTGTGATGATGTTGACGTGAGGTATCGTAGGAGGATAAGAAGTTATATATAGATATGCCAAGGCTTTTGTGTCTTGTGTAGATCCTTAGTTCTCAGCATCACGCTCGCAGATGTCACGACCGGACTCTCCTAGATATTGGCTTCATGGCTGTTGCCTAACTGTCTCCATCGTACGAGAAATCGTGGTAATGTTTTCCTATTGTGGCATTCTGAGCAAAGCGAGACTGGGCGTTCTTGAGGTCTCCATCGGTGTCATGGGCACACTGGTCCGATGGCGGAGATGGCGGAGGAGGCTCCCGGGTAGAGATCCACTGCCGGGGCTACAGGAGCCTTGTCGTCCATCTTGAAGTAGATAAAACGGTGGGAAGTGGGGGTTCTTCGGCTCAAGACCGAGATCTCGGGCTCCATTATCGTTGCCGGGGTCCATTATTGGTCCTTTCGGGCTCCATTTGTAGGGAAATTGAACAGAGCCTCAGGATCCGAGGGCATCGGAAAGAGCAGCCTGACACTCGATTACTGGCAGAACGGTATACTTGAATCCATGTCACTGCGTTGTTCTACCCAACGTTCTCTTTTTCTTTCCAGTCTTTAGGGAATCTGTGTCGTAGGTAGGGCGCAAGGGTAGATGATTTACATCTTATGGAACTCTACAGAAAGTGACTGGTACTTCATAGACTAATGTAACTCTCCAATTTCCAGTTGTTCTATGGTAGTCACTGATCTTTGTCTCAAGGGTAGCTAGGTGGCGTAAGAAGTCGTGCTGAGAGCGATACCTAAGCATGTAAAGAGAAGAGCAAATGGGAAAATTCAGATCAAACGTACGGAGTACAGAATGCTGGATCACCAGCGCGGCAGCATGCATCAATTGCTCACATAACGTTAATATGGTACTAAAGGTGCTTGACAAGCACCCTTTGATTCGTCCCAAGATCGAGTAAAACAAATGAAGTCCGTTTGGCGCCCAACAATGCCCGAACACCGACCGCCGCTCCGGCGTCGTCAATTGCGCAGTCGTCCGGCCCGGCCGACGCCACTCCGCGGTGCGGCTCTTCAACGTCACGGCGGTGGGTTAACACTCTAGAGTTTAGACAAAACCTACCACTACGGATAGAACGGGCATTGCCAAGACTTCGCCCAAGAAAACATTTGCAATCCCCGTCTCGTTCGACTCGGTTATTTAGGCTCATTACCGGATGCGACGCTGATCTCCACCCCCTCAATTGGTGGAAACTCTGCTCCCCTGGCAGAGGGCTCATGAAAGGTCGACTTGTATGGTGAGAGTTCGGATTCGCATGCAGGCCCACGGAGTAGCCCGGGCGCGACATGATCAGTAACCTCATACTCAGACACATGTTTCCACCTTGAAATTGACGTCGGTGGGTATCACTCTGGGTCACCGTTGCGTGATACAGGGCTGCAAAAGCGACATGAGATAAGCATTTTGGATGTCACTTACCAACAGCGCATGGCTCTGGTCCTCAGCGGCGCAAACTTCTGTTCAATGTAGAATTCTGTCTGTTTATATTAATCACACCTTTTCACTTTCAGATGGCAACATTGCGCGACTTTAAACTCGGAGGGGGGAGTTGCCCCTCTCAGTTTAGCTCGGCGCACCTGTCAACCTCCCGGTTCTCCACTCCCGGAGGAACACCTCGGACTCGGGAATCTCGGTGCAGCATCACTCCGCTCCAAGATGCAAACTTACTGATGCGCTTGAGACAATGTGACCAGCCTTTTGGAGCTACAAAACATCTTATGAATCCACTTGTTCTGCTCTAAGATGTAGCCTCCAGTGTCCTCATTGTCTCCTCAACTAAGAGCATTCCCTCGAGGTTCCTCAGACGATCAACCTCCAAGTCTCCCGCCGAGGGCATCACATACACATCCAGCCCTGCTCTCCTCCTCTGGAACCGTTCACCATGCGTACTCTCACCGCATTCCTCGCCCTCGCAACCTCAACAATGGCAGAGACCCTCCTCTACAGCAACCCCCTAAACTCAACCGCCGACGTCGCAACCTGGGTAGCAGAGGGTCCCCTCACCGTAGCAGCCGTCAACGACACCCTCGAGCTCTCGGGCGGCGGCAACCCAGACGACTACTTCGTCTACTGGGTGCCCGAGGTTTTTCCCGATGGCATCCGCATCACCTGGGAATTCTCCCCGCGCAACGAGCCCGGCCTGGCCATGTTCTTCTTCGGCGCCGCCACCGTCGCCGACGATGGCAAGGGGTCCATCTTTGACCCGTCCTTGAAGCCCAGGAACGGGAGTTACCCGCAGTACCACTCTTCCGACATCCGCACCCTGCACGCGTCCTACTTCCGCCGGCGCTGGCCCGAGGAGAGGGCATTTCATCTGGCGAACCTGCGCAAGTCGCCTGGCTTTCACCTTGTGTCCCAGGGCGCGGATCCTTTGCCACCTGTCCCTGATGCCGCTGGTGCGTTTTACAAGATTGAGGTTATAAAGGACAAGCGCGAGGTCAAGTTCCGCATCAACGACTTGCCCATCTTTGAGTTTTACGATGACAAGTCTACGGGCCCTATCATCCGGGATGGAAGGATTGGGTTCAGACAGATGCAGCCTCTTGTTGCGAGATATCGCGACCTTCAGGTGTGGAAGCTTTGAAAAGGGGAAGATGACGGACACGGATATATATGTATTGTGATGCCTTGATGTAATAGATAATCAGCCACTGCCACTGAGGCCGCAATTCTTCGGACTCCTTTAATCATCATGCTCCTGAACCCCATTCCATAGCCGTGATCTCGAGCGAATGGGCCGGCCCAGATCAGACGACAACTTGGGCACAATCTCGCTCGTCACATACCCCTCGTCGCCAAGCTTATCCAGCCCCTCAATCAAATCAGCAACTTCCGGCGGCGGCGCCGTATCAAAGACGGCCTGGATATCACCGTGCGGCGAAAATCCCGAAAGCTGCCACCCCAAGAACCTCCGGCGACCACCACCACCCATCTTCTTCCTCATCCGGCGCGAGAACTGCCGCCTCTCGTATAGGCTAATAAGTAACAACGTCGGCAAATTCAACGCGCGGATCAGCGCGACGTTGACTCTATGAAACGTCTCAGCTGACACGGCGAACCGTAACGGCAGCAGCGTCGCGAGCGCAAAGATGTTAAAGGGCGGCGGATACGCAAAGATGGCATCGCTCTTGACGCCCTCAAACGTCAGCACGGCGCGGCGGAAGCGTACCTCGGCCGCCTCGTCGGCAATGATGTTGGAAAAGGTGTTTGTCAGCACGGCGACGAGGATCGTCAGGAACAGCGTGTTGCCGAGGAACGCGAAGCCCACCATGAGCGCCGGACCGAGAATGATATGGAACTGCGTCGACTCCTGGATGCCGGTGCCATCGAGGCCGAACCATATCCAGAGCATCCACTTGCAGATGGCGAACCACGAGGGCGTCTCATTGAAGTTGTCGTTGGAGTCGATAAGCCACTGCAGCGCGAGGAGGAAGCCCATGAAGCACCAGCATGCCAGGAACGAGAGCAGCAGGAAATCCTTCATCATGGCGTGCAGGGATATGAGGACGATGTTGTCAGGTGCGATGTTGAATGCGACGCGGGTGAGGAGGATCGGCGCCGCGAGCGGGAGGATGTGCAGGCCGTGGCCGTCGGGGAAGTGGCCAGCCCCGACGTCGTAGATGCGCGCCAGGACGTAGGCGGCGTAGATTGCGGAAAAGGTGACGTCGAGCCAGGACCAGAGATTCTGCGCGTGGACCTCCCAGCCGTGCTCTGCAACGGCGGCGACTTCGTCGAGGACCCAGCCTGCGGCGTAGATGCAGAAGAGGAACTCAAAGACCTCGTTGCTGCTGCGGCGGTAGAGCATGGCGAGGAAGTAGAGGATCATCAGGATGAGGAACTGCACGAATTCGATGGAGTTGCGGGAGCGGGGGACGATGAGGCGGTAGTGGTTTAGTAAGGGCGCCTTCCGTGGGTCATAGAGGGAGATGGGGCGGTACTCGTAGTGGTCGGGCAGGATATCGACAAAGGAGAGGGGGGTGTAGACGACGCGGCCCTCGTAGACGGCGTTGATGACGCGCTGGCAACCCGGGGAGGAGATGAAGGTCTTGCTCTCGGAGAGGATGGCGAGCTCGAGGGCGGTGAGTTTGCGTTCGAGACCGCCTCGTTCCTGGGGCGCCCACTGCCGACGACCTTCGAACTCGACGGCCTCGGGGGCGCCCTCGAAGGGATCGAAGCCGCCGACGAGGAGGCGCGAGAGGAAGAGGAGACCCTGGGAGCCTGGGTTGGCTTCGTGGAAACGGCGAAGGACGCGGGCTGCTACGAGTTCGCAGAGCGTTGCGCGGGCCACGTTGATGGGTTGGTGGACAGAGGTTGCTTGCTGACGGAGGAAGTAGAGGCGGTTGGCCAGGAGGCAGTAGACTGGTTCTGGTGTTAGTTATGAGAGGTATTGATGAGAAGGGGGGGTTACGTACCTATGGTGATGTCGTTGGGGTTGTAAAGACGCTCAACGAGAGGCCGGACGATGAGGATGTTCATCCTGGGGTCACTCAACTGACTGAGTGTATATGGATCATCTATCTCAAAGTGTGAGTATGCAAGTTTCCCAACACTGCAAAATGGTCCTCACCTATACTTGCATTGACGAGCCGGCGGACGCTGCCCCTTAGTCAGTACTGTGATACCCTAGTTTGATCATGAAATGTTCCGAACTTTGATGAACGTACCGATGCATCGACACATAAATGGGCAGCTCAGAAACTGAAGACGGAACTCCGGGCTTCTCATCATCGTCATCATCACCAAGACAGGCCTCAGTTTCGGAGCCGCCAGCTACACCAGGACCCTCGTCGTCCTCCTCGTCTTCGCCACGACACCTCTGCCGACCCGTCCATAACCTGGCCTCTTCCGCCATCTCCTCCGTCGGCGACCGTCTCATCTCCAGCTTCTCACAGGTTGGTTTGGTCCGCCTGCGTCGCAAATACATTCACTTTTTCTATTGAATACATTAAGAGGCAGATGGTGACGGCACGAGGTCAAAGGGGAAGGGCACTCTCGGGGAAAGCGCACCTGTTCAGATCGTCCACAGACAAACCATCCCCTTAAATGGACAGCACGGAACAGCTGGGGTAAAAGGGCCCCTGTTTTTAGTCATGGAATCTTGGCGATTCATTACAAGACAATGAGCCGCGATGCCCAGGATTTGGGAGGAAACCATTATGTAAGTGCGAGTCGCTGCGCACGCGCGTAGCCGGTAACCCCTGACGTGGCACCAAACACTGAGATCGTGTAAGATATAGCTTTGAGCAAATAAAGAGAACGGAGGGGTATAGAAGCATGAGGGACGCTTCCATTTAGGATACGATCTTTAGCGAAAGCCTCGTGGAAGATTGGGTAGAATGCTTGGTGAAGGTAGGAGGGCAAATCAAACCCGCCAGAAACACATTTTTATTACGCCCGTATGAAGAGAGAAAAGCTCTCAAGGCTACCAGCCTATGAGGCGCCTGCCACCGTTGGTGACAGGAGTGGACTAGACGAATTCTAGGAGGGCTTCCCGTGTAGCATTCAGTCCAGTGTTTTCGGCCGTGGCCCACAAGCTGGCGCCGCGCTGGCACATCATCCTGTTGGTGACGCCTCCCTCACCGGCGACGGACTCGTAGTAGTAGAGCGTCAACTTGATGGAAATCTACTCGCGGCCCTCCTACTTGGCAGACCATTCCCACTTCCTCTAGTCGTCGGCGTCGGGATGGCCCAGGCCCAGCCACAGCTCAGCGGCCTACGGCCCACGTTTATCCTTTTCGCAAGAATGAAACAGACGCGACGAGGTCACCAGAGCTCAACTGGCATCTGAAGACCTGAATAGCGGATATCCGGGCTTGATCACTGCCTCTGCCAAGCCGGACATGGCAAGCTGCAAAGGCCAAAGAGCACCTCGCGTTCGCAAATCCGGGGACCAAAATTCTCGGAATATCGGCTTTACATTTCTCCCTTCCATTTCCGTACGTAGCGGGGCCCGCGTGCCCAACCACCCGCAACCACCATCCCGACCGCGGGGTCCTATCGATAACCAGTCACCTAGCTCCATCACCACGCGACGTCATCCAGGCAACGACACCACCAACCCACCAAAAACCAAACATCCTCACAACCTCCTCACCACAGCTTCTCCCACGACCACCCCATAGCTAGTGGCGAAACAAAGAGAAAAAGACACTTCTTCCCACAAAAACAGAGGGCAAACACAAACCACCCACAATGAACCGCCTCTTCGGCGCAGCGCCCAAGGGCCCAAAACCAACCCTAAACAGCGCAATCACAAACATCGACGACCGCATCTCCTCAATCGACGTGAAACTCTCCGCCCTCACCGCAGAACTAAACACCTACCAACAAAAACTCTCCAAAATGCGCGACGGCCCGGGAAAAAACGCAATCAAGCAAAAGGCGCTCAAAGTCCTCCAGCGTCGCAAAATGTACGAGTCCCAACGCGACCAGCTACAGTCCCAGGTCTGGAACATGGAACAGGCGCAGACGATGCAGGATAACCTCAAAAACACAATGGCCACCGTCGACGCGCTCAAGACGACCAATAAAGAACTCAAGAAGCAGTACGGGAAGGTGGATATCGACAAGATTGAGAGGTTGCAGGATGAGATGGCGGATTTGATGGATATTGGCAATGATATCCAGGAGAGTCTGGCAAGGTCGTATGATGTGCCCGAGGACGTTGATGAGGCGGAGCTGGATGCCGAGTTGGAGGCGTTGGGGATGGAGGCCGAGTTGGAGCCTGAGATGGGTGCCATGCCGAGTTTCTTGCAGGAGGAGTTGCCCGAATTTGTGGATGAGGAGCCGGCCAAGGAGGGTGCCAAGCTCAAGGAGGCTGCTGGCTAATGTGCTTGTAGTCACCAGGGAGCATCGTGTGGGAAAGGAGACAGGGGCTAGATAGGAGAGAGCGATGGCGGGCTTTTGGAGAGTTTCGTTCTCGGCGTAATGGCATACCTCATATCCACTTCATTACAAGCACCAGCCGCAGACAGATGATGATTTATGTTCACAACTCGAAGTCACTTCGTATTGTTCCGAAACTCCTATTCTTCCCAACAAATAAACCAATGAGCCCTCCATCTCCCTTTACAATTCGCTATGCCGGTGATGCTGCTGCTGCTACTACTACTGCTACTCCAACACGCCACGTCGTCCGCATCTACTCCACCGTTCCAAAGAACCGCGAAACCTCTTCCAGCTCCGGGTCATTGTTGCAAAAGTCCCAGCCCACAATGACACTCGTCTGACTACAACAAATGATCCTGCGGGCATCGTACTGCAACTTGAATACCCTCGCCGGGCCGTTGTCGCCGTTGGCAATGTGCGGGTGGTGTGCCGCGTCCGGTACAGGGTTCTGCGCGCCTTGTACTGGCACCGGCGTGGCCTGAGTCTGAACAGGCGCTCCCGGCTGCGTCGGCTGTGCTTGATTCTGACCTTGTCCCTGGATGTGCAAATGCCCCTGCACCTGGGGCGTTGCAGGTCCAGCGGCGGGTCCAGCGGCTGCGGTAGCGGCGGCAGCAGAGGCGGCAGCTTCTTGTTGTTGTTGAATCTGCATCTGCTGCCGGACAGCTTGTATCTGAAGACTGGCAAGAGTTGGTTGATGCTGAACTGAATGGTTAGACGGCGGGGCGAATCCATTCATGGGTGGCAGCGCTGGCGGATCAATAGTTTGGGCCTCGCGATTTGCCACGAGGCGGCGCGACTGGTTAAGCTGCGTCTCCAAAAGAGCGGCATTAAGTACATTGCGGAGGTCGGCTCTGATCCGCGGGCTTGGTTCTCTGCCAATGGCAGCCTGGATGTGTGAATTATACACCAACATCGTCGGGTAATGGTGCAAAGCCTGGCGCAGCTGCGTCGGTCCCCGAGGCACGACAGTGTCAATCAGGTTCATAAAAGCCTGGGCCGAGTCGGGCGTGATGGTGGCAATAATGGGATTGTCGACCGTCGTCCTAGGAGATCCGGTCGACGAGGAAGACCCCCGAGTGCCGCGCACCGTGGAGGGTGAGCCTGCCTCCAAGTTTGCCAGCATTTGTTCTGCCGTGAGCTGCGAAGCCTCTCTCGCCGCAGCTTGAGCTTGACTTTGGGCTGCTGCGGCTCCGTCTTCCTGCCGCAGGTGTTGCGTGTCCTTCCACACGCCCTCTTTGTCACGGCGCCAGATGATGATGCCCTGGTCGTAGGAGCCAGACACGATGCGAGCGTACTTGCCACCGCCGCCGCCGGGAGGAAGAATGGCACCGTACGCCGTAATATCCTCCGGGCGTTGACTGCCCGCGTTACGGGCCTGGGCACGACCACGGCGGCTGCCATGGTCGCTAAAAGGGCTGACGACTCCATCAGCTACCGCCTTAAAGTACATCTCGTCAATCCTCTTGGCCTCGGCCTTGTCCTCTTCAGCGCTGTAAGGAAGATCGCCGAAGCCGGCCTGGACCGTTCGCACAAGGTTAGTGTGCGCGCGCAGGCTGGCGACTTCGAGACCCGTGAACCTGTCAAAGACCTTGACCTCGTTGTCACTGCTGCCACTAACAATCCTCCGACCGTCGTACTGCACGCAGGCAATGCCCTTGCTATGGCCAACGACTGTCCGGATACAAACCTGTTTGGTCCAGTCCCAGACCTTGATGTTTCTGTCGCCGCTGGCTGACACAACCTCGTTGTCATGGATCTGAACGGCATTGACAGCGGCGCCGTGTCCGTCCAGAGAGCCAATCAGGCTGTACGGGGGCTTGATGGGCAGGTCGTCCATGGGGTTGCCGTATCCATAGTCTCTGAGGCGTTTCGGGGCGTTGAAGACGACATCGCCATCACCGTAACCCGGATCTCCGTACTTGAGTGGACGGCGGTTGAAGATCTTGATCGTCTTGTCCTTTGAGCAAGTGACCAGAATCCTCTTGTCGAATTTGATGTTGAGAACCGACTCGGAGTGGGCGTTCTTCAGCCTTTGAATCATCTGTCCTGTTGAAAACTTCCACAAGATAACGTTGGAGTCACTGCTCCCAGAGACAATCAAATCTTCGTCCTTGTCCGCGTCGAACTGCAAACAGAGTACCGATCCAGTGTGCCCTTCCAGAGGCGGCCTCAACAACCGCTGGGTGTGCAGGCTCCAGATACGAAGCGTCTTGTCGCGACTACCGCTAACAAGGTATTCGCTGTCGAATTGCAGACTGTAGATACACTCTTGGTGGCCCTCTTGCGGGTGATCTGGATGGGGCAGCTGGAAGTTGGTATACTTTCCGAGCTCCCAATTCTGCTCCAGTCGGTGGCGCATCGTGTACAGATACTTCCAGTCGAGCCTGTACCGTCGGCTAGGTGCGTCCCATGACCAGAGCGACGACCGCACAATTCCTCCTGGCGCGTCGGCAGACATCATGGGAGGCAGCGAGTCTTCCTTGACCAGAGCCGCCCGCAGCATGGGCGACGCCTTACCCTTGCCTTTGGTATCGAGACCGAAGTTTCGCTCCGCACTCCGTCGAGTAGACCCCGAAGCCGACCGGTCCAGATCCATCTCTCCGTGTTGCGGTGTAGCTGAACTCCGAGAGAAACCGAATGACGAGGCAGGGCTGCCAAAGATGCTGTTACCCATAATGGAATTCATTGAGTCTTCTCTGGTGATTGATGCCCCGGCGTCCGTCATCTCGAGATCGTTGTCTTCGGATATCGCGCGCTTCTTGTGCGTGTGGCCGTCCTCGCATGATCGAACCCTGTGGAGGGAGCTGGGTGATTGGTTCTGGCGTTTGTTCGCATCTTCTTCCCACTTGTTGACTTCCGAGTAAATGGCCTTCCAGCCCTCCATATGGTACAGCTTCTCCCATAGCTTGCGGTCGAGGGCCAGCTCGTGCCAGGCGTGGCAGGCCTTTGCGACGTTGATGAGGGAGACGGGATCGAGGTATCCGAGAATCTTGAGGCAGACTTCTGTTGGCAAGTAGTGGACAAAGTTGATGTATATGCGAGGGTGTAGGCGCTGGACGATTTCGACGACGGCCGAGGTGGGTAACTGGTCGAGAAGGGCTATGGCAAGCTCTGTTCATTCGAGACGGAGAGATGTCAGCTGGATTCCCGAGGAGTTTGAGCAAAGCAGAGCCAATGACTGCTGCTGCTGCTGCTGCGTCAGAGAGGCAATGTGAACATACCAGTCTTTTCAGATGCTGACAGGCCGGGGAGATGCTGGGCGAGCCAGGCGGGCAGGTCTGCGGGTGGGCGAGAGGCCGAGACATCCTGAGCGCTGCTGAAGCTGGGGTTCAGAGGGTCTTCGGAGTAGCCCTCGTCGGGCTGTTGCGAGGTAAAGGCAGACATGCTGGGCGAGAGTGTATGGGGTCGAGGCGTATGGAGATGTCGCGCAGGACTTGGTCTCTATGGCTCTTCTCTAATGGTGAGGTATGCGCAGTCGCGGGCCATGCGAGCGAGGGGCAGAAGAGGTTCGTGCTCGGTCGCGAGGTGGACTACAATCGATTGGCTTCTAAAGGATGCTTCGTCGTGTGGCTGCCGTCGTCGTCGTCGTCGTCTTGGGCGAGAGGATGCAGCGAGAGAGGTGCAAGAGAGGTGCGAGAGAGGTGCGTGAGACTATGGGCGGACTGATATCCAGGAGTCTTTGGGCGACGTGATGCAAGGCGGCTGGGATTTCTTTGATGGAGGGGGGTTACGTATTGGTGGGTGATGCAATGGTAATGTAGAATGCTGTCTTAGCTCTGTCGCATCCGACCTAGAATAAAGCAAGGAATGCGGATGGTTGTGGCGTGAATGCTGCAAGTGTCGATGCAACAGCAGAGCAAGGCACCTCAGGCAAAAGAGAAGATGAGATGGGACAGAGTGGGGGGTGGGAAAGTGGTGGGATTGAGATTTGGGACTGAGATGGAGAGTTGGATTGGGGAAAGGGTTGGTTGGATGATGTTGAACGTTTGATTTGGATGTTTGGATGCTTGACCGGGGGGGGGGGGGGGGAGGAGCGGCGCGGCGGGTGGAAATGAATGCAGCGGGTGCGCTTGGCCGTTGTTGGTTGAAGAGGATGCCGTGAGACTCACAGAGAGGGACAGACAGGAGGTCTGGTGAGGTAAGCAACCTAACGGTGATGCAGGTAAGCAATGGAAGCAATCCAGATACACTACTCCATACATTGGCAGTGGAGGTGAGCAAGGTGAGAGCAAGGCACGGGACAAGGTGACAAGGCAGCGGAAAGGCGGAAGGCAAGATGCGGCTGCGGCGGCGGCACACGGGCGGTAAGGAGACAGGAGCCTTGGAAAGCCAACCTTGAAGTGAGGTGGACACTGGGCGGAGAATAAACACTGTAACATTTGAGACCGGGGGTGTCACTCACGTCAACTTTCCAAAGTCACGCTTGCCTTCTTGCAGCCTGGAAAGCCTGTTTTTTGGTCCCTTGAGATCACCTCAGCCTAGGCATTTGGTGATCGAGTTGACGAGAGAGAGAGAGAGAGAGAGAGAGAGTGTGGAAACAACGCAAGACAGCAAGCCAACTGCTGGAAAACTGGCCAGCTACGGATACCTTATGCAAACGAGTTTTGGCAGACTGTCTGGCAGAGGGCGGAGGTGGCGGGATGGGATGGGGACAATGGAGACATGGACGGGTCCGGCGATTATCACTTTTCCCTGTTCTCTCTCTCTGTCAGCTGTGTTGCTTCTATTCCCATATTACTCTCCATGTCTGTCAACGTATGCTGATCAGGGCCATTGACCAGTATCATCATGGCATTCCATCCCCTCATCCCCTCGTAATCCTCTCACCATTCCTATGATTCCCACCTCCAACCTCTCACCCTCTTCTCGTCGTGCGGGCATCGCAGGATACACTGCGTAGATGTGGACATGCAAAGGGCAAAGTAGGCAAAGAC